ACAGTTCGAGGAGTATCGGAGGAGGCGGATGATGCTAATTTCGAGAGTGCATCTGCCTGGTTGTTTTCTGATCTCGGTACTTGGATCAGATGGAAATCCTCAAGGGAGCCGACTGCTTGTCGGACCGCCTGTAAATATTTGATCATGGCCGGATGTGTTGCTTCGTATTCGCCATTGTACTGACTCACTATCAGTTGTGAATCAGAACAGGCGTCTATTTTCCTTGCCCCGGCCGCCTTACACATGCGGATCCCGGCTAGTAAAGCTTCATATTCTGCCTCATTGTTTGAAGCCTGGAAACTGAAGCGTAGAGCATACTCGAACCTGTCGCCCTCTGGAGATTGACATACGACGCCTGCTCCACAACCGTTTGAAGTAGAGCTTCCGTCCACATATACCTTCCAGACTTGGTCTGGAACTTGAGAGTCAGGAGGACGAGTCATCTCTACAATAAAGTCAGCAAAGGCTTGCCCCTTCACTGCTTTTCTAGGCTCGAAAGTAACTTCGAGACTCTGCATTTCTATGGCCCATTTGATCATTCGTCCGGAGGACTCCATGGTGGTAAGGGGCCGTTTGATCGGTTGGTCGGTATACACGACGACTGCATGTGCCAGAAAGTAGGGCTTCAATTTTTTAACAGCCATGAAGAGTGCAAGACCAAATTTCTCCACTAGGGGATACCTCAACTCGGCATTTTTCAGTACGTGACTGACAAAGTAGACCGGAAGTTGACAGCCGTCCCTTTCAGCAAGGAGCACCGCGCTTAACGCATGATCAGAGACGGCCAGGTACATGTAGAGATTTTCTTTGGGCAAAGGGCTGACCAGCCTTGGCAAGGAATGCAAGTGAACCTTTAATTTCTGGAAGGCGGCCTCAGCATCCGGCCCCCATTCAAACCTTGCCTTTTTCTTAATTGCCTGGAAAAAGTATAGGCATTTGTCGCCTGATCGGCTTAGAAATCTTCCCAAGGCCGCCAGACAACCTGTTAACTTCTGAACCTCTCGGACGGTACGAGGCGACTGCATGTCAATGACCGCCTGTACCTTCTCAGGGTTCGCCTCTATTCCTCTCTGGTTGATAAGGAATCCGAGAAATTTCCCAGACTCAACTCCAAATACACATTTCTTGGGATTGAGCATGACATGGTGCCGCCTGAGTGTGGCGAAAGTTTCTCGGAGGTCCGTCAGATGATCTTTCTGAAGTTTAGTCTTAACAATCATATCATCAATGTATGCCTCGACGTTTCTCCCAATCTGATCAAAGAACACTGTGTTTATCATTCGTTGGAATGTAGCCGGGGCATTCTTAAGACCAAACGGCATGACCGTATAACAGTATAATCCCTGATCAGTGACGAAGGCCGTCTTCTCCTGATCTTTCTTCCACAAAGGAATTTGATGAAAACCAGAATAGGCGTCCATAAAACTCATCAAGGCATGGCCGGCTGTTGAGTCGACCAGGTTATCAATTTTGGGCAGAGGGTAACTATCTTTGGGGCACGCCTTGTTCAAGTCTGTGTAGTCTACACACATTCGCCAGGTGCCATTCGGCTTTTTAACAAGTACCACATTTGCAACCCAATCTGGGAAGTAACATTGCCGAATGAACCCTGCATCAAGTAATTTTTTGACTTCGGCGGCGGCCGCCTGACCTCTTTCTTCACCATGGTTCCGCTTCTTTTGCCGTACCGGCTTCTTTTCGGATCCACAGCGAGTTTGTGTACTGCCAGATCAGGACTAATGCCTGGCATTTCATGGACTTCAAATGCAAAGATGTCCTTGTATTCTTTCAACAGGTTGTGAAAGTCATCACCAAGGTTTCTCAGAGCAGTCGTCCCAACTTTGACTGTTCGGTCAGGGCGGGAGTCGTCTAATATCAGGTCCGTATGCTCACCAGCCGGCTGAGGGCGGAACTCATCCGGCCGGTCCTCTGCCAATGATTGCTATTTTCTTGCCTTTCTGGCGGACTCTGTCTGGGACGCCTTTCTTTTTCTGTCGCCTGTTTCTTGAACAAGCGCACTTTCCTTGACATTGTCAAGGTCTGTTTTTTCTCCACTTGACCCAGTGGCCTTAGCAGTGGGTTTGACATCCGAGAGATAGCACTCTCGGGCCATCCTCTGATCTCCCCTTAGGGAGCCGACTGTTCCATTGTCCCTTTCAAACTTAAGCAGCATAAGTGACGGGATTATAACAGCCTTGGCACTATTCAGGGTTGGGCGACCCAGAATCATGTTGTAGGCAGAGAGTTCCTCTACAACTAGGAATCGGACTACCATGTGTCGTCCTTCCCCTTTTTCGCCCAGGCGGACGGGTAGATCAACTCGTCCCAGTGGGTGGACGACTCCTCCTCCAAACCCTATTAAAGGGTGGGAGGCCGGATGTATGCAGTCCGTCTGATATTTCAGTTTTGACAGACATTTGCTGCTGATGAGATCTGAAGAGCTCCCAGTATCTATGAGGATTCGACCAACTCTCTGGTTGGCCACTTTACATTCAATAACGAGAGGGTCGTCATGCGGCCCCCTTATTCCTCCTAGATCCTCTTCAGTGATGACAATCTCAGGAAATGTATATTTGGACAGTCGTTCTTGGTGAACGGAATTTACATCTAACCGCCTTATATTATCTTTGTTGCCCCTAATAGTGGGGCCGCCTCCTGAGAAGCCGCCTGCAATGGTGTAGACGACTGCATCATCTGTATCGGAACTGTCGGCCTGTTGATTCTTTTTGGCCGACTGCTTTTTTGAGGAAGTATTCCCCGTAGATTTCTTGACATAAGTGTCAAGATCACCTTGATCAGCCAAGCGGTCTAGGTACCGCATGAGACTAATGCAGTCGTTGGTGTGATGACCAATGTCATCATGATAAGCACAGATTTTGTCTTGGTTCCGGTTGCTCGCAGAACCCTTCATGGGAGCGGTTTCTCAATTGAGAGCCGTCCCTTTATTTCTTTTAGGATAAACTGGTTATCCTTGTTAAACACATACTTTGGGGAGTATGGTTTGAATTCCTTTTTCTTCTTGGCCGGCTGTTTAGAGGAATCAGCCGCCCAGACCCCTTTTCTTTTTTCATCTTTGTTGGACGACTGTTTCTGTCGTCCCTCTCTATTGTCGAACCTCTTCCCGTCCGACTGTTTCATTGTACACAGATCAGTCGCCTGTATATAGGCTTCTGCTTCAATCAAGGCCTCTTGAAGAGTCGCCACCCTTTTTCGAACTAAATCAAATTTGAAGGTAGACCCGTCTTTGAGACCTCTAAAAAAGTCAGTATAAGCTACCTCATCCGGTAACCCTTGAATCTGTATTCTCATCAGGTTGAACCGCCTGATGTAGGAACGAAGCCCCTCCTTTTCACCCTGCTGAATTGTTCCCAAATCAAGGGTCGTTTTCTTCGCAGGGATGTTCATTGCAAAGTTGGAGGCAAATAAGTAAGCAAGCGTCCTGAAACTGTTTACACAACCAGTCGGCAGGTTGCCGAACCATTGCTGTGCAATTCCCTTGAGAGTTGCTGGGAAACACTTGCACCAAGTGGGATCATCCAACCCTTGAAGGTACATCAGGTTGGTGAATGCCATCAGATGGTCTTCCGGGTTAGTAGTGCCATCATAGGCGCCTACTAAAACATTTTTTACTTTGGCCGGCTGAGCGGCTTCAGTAATTTCCTTGGAGAAGGCCGACGGCTGTTCACCAAGTCTAAGCAGCCGTAGCTGCCAGTCCATAGGTTGGACGTTTTTTGCTGCAGGTCCACCAAATGGAGGTGGCTGCATAAAATATTGTTGTTGCGGCACAAATGGCAAATTTGGTACCGCCTGCGCACTATGAAAGCCTGACTGACGGGAGGTGCCGCCTGACTGACTCTCATGGTACGACTGAGTTGGCCTCATCGAGGCATTTCGCAAACTGTCCTGAAAATTTGAAGTAGAAGCCGACTCTGATAATCGGTCACTCTTCTTCTGCTCTAGCAGGTGCCGAGCATCTGTGAACGTTTGCTTTGACCCGTCCGCCTGAATATGACGAACCGGTTTCCTATTTCCCGTAGGATAACGGAGTTTTGTGAAATCAAGAGCAGACGGCTCCCGCTTCTTAGATTTAGGATGGGGAGTCGCCTCTCGCCCTTGAACTGGCTTCCTCTTCAGTGAAGTGGAAGGTTTTTTGGCCGCCTGCTCTTTGACTGAAGCAGGCGGTTTTTTGTTGATCAACTCTTGGATCTCTCCCTTGAATCCCCTCATGAAGGTCATGAGTTCGTTCCTTGTGATGGGAGCAGACCCATCAGTCGGCTGTTGCCGAGCAAGCGGTGCGCCTGCTGGCTCGCTTCCTGTTTGAAGATACTCCCGTTCCCTTATTTCAGTATGACGGGTACGGCGGGCCCTTAGGGTCCCGTCTGGAGCTGTATGAGTTTCAACTTCAAATTCACTTTCGGTATCATGGTCCGACTGAACTTGAGGGTCGTCTAGGGGACGCCTCTCTTCTGGGGTCGGTACAGACTTGGATGCCATCTCTGAAGTACTGTCCCCACAGACGGCGCCAAATGTTTTGGGGTTTTCTGATGTCCTGCGGAGAGCTACAATTCCGAGACTGGAACCGGACGCCTGTACCTGCAAAATAACGGAGACTCCTGAGAGCTCCGCCTCCAACGGTCAAGTTAGTACCTGATTAAGGAGTAATTAATACAGAAATTAAAGTAATAAGGTCTCTCTAGGTGAGAGTATTTAATGTAGGTAATCTGCTTTGCTAGCGAGATCTGCCGGTTATTAGTGTGTTCCGTAATGTTTCTCCTCCGTTCCGTTCATTATTCCGTCCCTTGATTAATGAGGATTAATCGAGTATTTATAGCCTTGGGAAGCGTGCAACTCTCTAGGTTTAAGGTAAACCTAGGGCCGATCGGGCTTCTAGACTGAAATGGGCCTTGATGGCCGGTTGTCCCATTTGGCATGGGTGGACACGTGGCGGAACCTGGTTGGTCCACTTGTCAAACGGCGCTTGGTGGATAAAAATCCCCTAATCAGTATGTGCGACCATTCACAACATAGTTAATAGAGGGTGCACAACCTTCAAAAACATCATTAAACAATGGGGATCTATCAAGAACATTAATATCATTACGACTACCTGGTGTCCCAAAAAAGGCATGCCAGATCCAAAGATCATATGATGCCACAGCTTCCAAGATTAATGTGGGTTTACCTGGTCTTCCAGAAAACATACCTTTTAATCGAAGTGGACAGTTTTTCCACCTCCAATGCATACAATCAATAGAACCTAACATGCCAGGAAATCCACGACGTTCACCAATCCTTAGTAGTCTTACTAGATCTTCTTCATTGGGCTTTCGAAGGTATTCATCACTAAAGTAAGAGACTATTCCTTCCACAAAATGCTGAAGTGAATCTCTTGCAAGAGATGCACTAATCCGAATGTAGTCATCCACAGAATCAGCGGAGGTGCCATAAGCTATTAGTCTCATAGCCGCGGTGCATTTTTGTAATGCAGAGGCACCAAATCTTCCTGTAGCATCTTGTCTTTGCTGGAAGAAGGGATGACGTTCTTCTAAAGTTTGCTTAATTCGTTGAAATATATGTTTGTTCATGCGAAATCTCCGACGGAATAATTGTGGAGGGAACACAGGATGGTCGGTAAAGTAGTCATTCCATAAACGACTGTGTCCATCCTCACGATCCCTTGGAACGGGAACCCTTGGTGGCCTTGGCACTTGATTAAACATTTGATATACTTCAACTGGATTGGACATAAAAACTTCATCCATCATTCGATCGAACTGGCGATTGGCTTGCCTTCGTCTTTCATATCGTTGGGTTTGGCTATTTTCTGAATTGGAAGAGGAATTAGAAGAGTTGGAGCTATCGTCAGATGACATGTTTTAAAACCAAATTTGATATGAGAATGGAAGGTAGAAGTATAATAGGGGGAAATGGATGGTTGTTCAAGGGAATCCCACTCTGATGTATCCATCTTATAGAACAAGTGTGTATGATATGTAGTAATTTTTTTGTCTTATATGGTAAATTTGAAGTCTTGCATGCATGCAATGATTCATAAAGTAGTTAATAATTTTTAAAAGTAATGGAGATGCATGCCTTTGCATTGTCACTATCACCTTAACATTGTTATGTACGTCAAAGCAAGTGATGCATGCTACTATTTCCTTTTCAGTGTTAAGTACATCAGTGAACAAAATTCACTATTACCTTTTCAGTGTTAAGTACATCAATGTCTAGTATTTAATATTTGCTTTTCAGTGTTGGGTACATCAAATACTTTACAGTGTAATGTAAATCAATGTACATCTTTTGCAGTGATATATCAAAGTGAATCAATAGGTTTAGTCAGATCAATAATAATTATATGTTATTATATAAAAACTTTAATGTATTGAATAATATTATTAAGCTTATAATACGATTATAAGAAGAGACATGTAATTTAACTTAATAACTCCATAAGTATTCAAACTACAAATCAGACCTTAAGTACATAAAAAAGAACAATAAAAAAGGAATTATTTGAAATCAACCAACATTACGACAATAATCAACCATACACTAATACATTAGTCTGAGGGGAACAACTTCTTCAACAAAGTGCTCCTTAATTCTTGATCTTCCGAAGATAAGTTTGGCTTTGAATCGAGGTGTTTAAATAACTCCATATTAATTTTTCTTTGCTTCCTTGCTTCTTTCTCCCTTTCTAGTTGCAACCTTGTAAGTTCAACTTCATTTTCTGATTGCCTTAGAAGGTTCATGTTCTGGGCAGTGTCCAACCATTGTTGCCATGCTCCACTTGGCATGTTTGGCACCTTGCTCTTTCCTTTATTTTTACTAGATTCGTTGCTAGAAGGAAAGCCTGAATACCCAATATCACCACTGGTTGGTGTTTCTGGGTTTGATGAAGAGGAGTAGTTTCCAGCTTCATTGATACGAGATCTCTTTGAGTCACTTCCTTGAGTGGATGTCTTTTCCTTGCATTTTTTTAACAACATCTTCACTTGGTTTCCATGCTTCATGTTGTTTTAAGATGTCCCAAACATGCTTGTCTTGAAAGGTTTTAGAGCATAATGAAGACTTTGTTTTGTCGTTAGCATATATACTATATGCTAATTTCATAACATCTTCATCATTCATACCACTTCCCTTTTTTGATTCAGCATGAGCATGTGAGCCACAAAATTTAGAACATGAAGCATTAATCCTTCTCCAACGGTTTCTAAGTTGCTCCGTACCCCTCATTTTCAACAAATCTTCTCGTGTTACCCGATCAGTACCTTCTTCGAAACACCTTTGTTTGTATAGTCTAACATTATTATACATTTCTTCAATTTTCCTCCAAAAAACATCCCCCTTTTGGTTAGTGTTAGTTTTTTTTATTTTGACTAACCTCAAGCCAAGCCTTCACAAGAACCACTTCTTCAGCTTTTGACCAAAAAATTTTCCTTCCATCTTGATTGCCTCCTTCATTACCTCTTTCATTACCTTCGCCTTCTTCAACTTCTGGTTCATTTTCGTCATCTGATGCATTCGATGTGTATGAACAATCGAAACTCGAAAATGCACCATCACCTTGTGACATAGAAAAATGTTGAGACATGGGAAATGTTGAATCAATTTGAGAGATTTGAATATTTTCAAAAGATGGGATAACATTTGGAGAATTTGAATAATTAGGATTTTGTGGTGGTTGAAAAGGAAACGGAGTGAAAGTACTTGGATTTGAGAAATTGAGATTTTGTGAACCGTAATTCGGAAAATTTTGAAAATTTGTATCTAAATCTGAGTTGAGATCAATTGGAAGATTAGAATAGTAAGGTTGAGGATTTGGATTATTTTGGGGCTGTGATGAGTTATGAGATTTTGTGGATTTTTTTTTTTCTGTTAGATTTTGGAATGTTCATCTTAACACAATTTGCCAATAAGAAGAGTAATTTTCACTTAAAAAAAGTTGTTTCAAAATACTTCAATATTGGGCTCATTTTATAGAGAAAAATAAAATAGAGCCGTTGGTGTATTTTTTTTTTTTTTTCAGAATTGTATTTTAAAAATTATGGCCGTTACAAAAATTACAACGGTTATAAATTCAGAGCAAATCTCAACCATTGATATTTGTATTACGTGTCAAAATCTTAGCCATCCATGTCAACCAAAAAGCAAAAAAAAAATTGCATGACCAAGCTATGATAACCGGTTATTGAAATAACCAGGTTATTAATATTTTCCACCAAAATTTTCTCTCTCCTCATTATTTTATTATTTTCTCACAATCTCTCTCCTAATAACCACCCCAAGTGGTTATTTGCTGTGTCTACTCTAATATCAGTCGCTTCACAAATTTTTGTATGTGGCTGGCCACACTGTGGCCAGCAACAATTTTTATTTTTTATTTTTTTATAAAAATACTACTATTCTTCTCTCTCCTTTTTTTCTTATCTTCTTCTCCAAGTCAAATCACACATCACCAACAACCATATATCAACTCCACTCATTTTCTCTCTCATCTTTTCTTAGCATCTTCTTCAAGCCAAACCACACATCACTAACAACCATATCTCTACTCTACCCATTTTCTCTCTCCTCTTTGCTAAATTGCTACAATTAAAGCCCGAAATTGTAGAAATTGGGTGTCAAATTGTTCATGAACAATATTTGAAGTAGTGAAATCGATGAGAACCAAAGAAATTTGAGCTCTTTCTTTGTGAAAACTCAAATCGAACATTCTACGTCAAAAATTGTAGGGTGTTACTAGTTTGGTCAGGGGTTACTTATAGGGTGTTATTGGTTTTGGTCAGGGGTTACATGTGGGGTGTTACTGTTTGGTCAGGGGTTACTTGTAGGGTGTTACTGGTTTTGATCAGGGGATACTTGTAGGGTGTTACAGGTTTTGGTCAGGGGTTAGGTTACTTGTAGGGTGTTACTGGTATGGTCAGGGGTTACTTGTAGGGTGTTACTGGTTTTGATCAAAGGTTACTTGTAGGGTGTTACTGGTTTTGGTCAAAGGTTACTTGTAGGGTGTTACTGGTTTGGTCAGGGGTTACTTGTAGGGTGTTACTGGTTTTGGTCGGGGGTTACTTGTAGAGTGTTACTGGTTTGGTATGGGGCCTACAAACAACCCTTTTTTTTTTTTTTGAAACCAACCTACAATCAAACCTTGAATAAGTAACAAGTAACCATTGAATAAGTAATTCATACAAGTAACCTTTGAAGTAACTCATATAAGTAACCCTTGAATAAGTAACTCATACAAGTAACCCTTGAATTAACCCATAAAAGTAACCCCTAAAAAAATTATAAAAAAAAAGTACCCTTGAAAAAAAAATATAACTCTTGAAAAAAATAATATACAAGTAACCCCTGAAAATACAAGTAACCCTTGAATAACTAATCCATACAATTAACCCCTGAAAAAAAAAATACAAGTAACTCCTGAAAAAAAAAAATACAAGTAACTCCTGAAAAAAAATTACAAGTAACTCCTGAAAAAAAAATACAAGTAACTCCTGGAAAAAAAAAAATACAAGTAACCCTGACAAAACCAGTAACCCCGTTATGCGTGTGAACAGTAACACCGTTATGCGCGCGTCAAAATCCGTTATTTTTACTGACTTGACAGCAGGCCACACCGTGCCTGCTGCACCAAAAAAAGCTCTGCAGTCGCTTTATCTGACTTTTATTTTCGAAAGTTTCCAAAATAAGTACTCCGTGGTACTTCTCTCCGTTTTTAAATACTTGCTCCATTTCTCCATGCGCGGAGTTTTAGGAGAAATTGTAGAAAGTAATAAAATATGGAGGTAGTGGGGTATTTGAGAAAATAAAAAAATGTAAAAAGGAAAAGTAGTAGAAGAATAGGAGGAGAGAGATTATTATATTGGATCCACTAAGTGTGAGAAATGAATTAAATATTGTAAAAGCTTTCCATAAAAAGAAATAGAGCAAGTATTTAAAAACGGCCGAAAAAGGAAAGTGGAGCAAATATTTAAAAATGGAGGGAGTAATAAACAAACTTTTTCATGATTTTTTGTACTACCCCCGTTAGGTTATGTGTAACGATTAGATTTTTTCCTCTCTGTTTTATGTCAAATCGTTGCACATAACCTATAACGGAGGTAGTAGTTATTTGAACGACCCCAAATATATATTTTCTGTAAACAAAAATTATACTCGTGTTATCTTTTTGTCCAAATACATACGAGTATTAATTCAAAACCTTATACGGAGTAATTAAGTATAGTTAGAGTTTAATATAATGGGAAAATGTAAACTAATAATCCCACCTTTAGTCGGTCTTCCATAAACAGTCCCACCTTTTGAAATTCCAGAAACAATCCCACCTTAAACCCCCATCTTCCATTAACAATCCTTTACCAGTTGTATTGTTTTGATAACCGGTTTTCATAGGTTATAAGACACGTGTCAGGTTTTAATAGGTTTAACTTCTTTTTTTTTAAATAAAAAACAAACTAATAAAAAAAATAATAATAATAATAAAAAAAAAACAAAACCAAAACCCCCAGCCTAGCCACCGTATCCCTTCCCCATCCTGCCACCGCATCCCCTCCCCATCCCCGCCCTTGCTTTTCCCGGCAACCCAACCTACCCTTTCAAGGCGCCGGAACCCAACCCCTGAAGCCCGAAATCAGCACTTGCAGCCGCCTAGCTTCCCCAAAAACCCAACCCAATCCGCAGCCCAGAACCCCTCTTTCTCCTTCTCCTTCTCTTTCTCTCTTCTCTTTGGTATGTTTCACTCTCCTCTGAATTCATCAATTCATTCCCTTTCAATTCGATTTTTTAGATGATTGAAATAATAATTTGCATTTAATTTCAAACCAAAAATTGAATTGGAGACGATGGGTGACGTTTTTCAGGGCCG